GTGTTCAATGTTCTGTTCATTACGCCTTCCATTCTGACAGTAATGCAGGTTAACTTTTAGCACTAGAGAATTTGGTGCGATGGAAATTTATGGGAATATTTATGATGGCTGTTATGATGAATTATTTGAATCTTCCTAGAATGTTATATAGTTTATTCTGCTATTGGTTTTGAGAATTTTAACTCCACAAATGTTGCATAACCAATGTAAAATGAACACCTAATGTGAATTTTTATGTTGCAAATAAGGATTATTGTGCTTGATTAGGAAAACATTAGATAACATGTTTGGATTCATTTATTAAAAATGTAATTTAGTAGTCATCGTTAAAATGAATTTTACTTAAAGATTTTAGGTAAGAAGGAACAGATTCAGTTGATAATCAAAATTTTAAAGATCTACTTTATTTTTAAATTATGTATATGTGTATATCTGGCTGTGTATATGTACACCACATGCATGCAGGTATTCACAATGGCCAGAAAAGGGTTTCAGATCCCCTAGGAACTGGAGTTAGAGGTGACTGTGAGCAGCATGATGTGGCTACTGTGAACCCAACTTTGATCATCTGGAAGAAGACCTGTGTGTGGCCCTAACTGATGAGCCATCTCATAAGCTCCAGATAATTGGATTCATTAGCATACACACATACACACACACACATGCACGCATGCACTCATACACACATTCACATACATACATCCCTCTTAGTAGTAAACAGAATTCATAAATTGATTTCCCGCTGTACTGATTAGTTTTGGCAACTTGACACAAACTAGAGTTACCTGGGAAGAGGGAACTTCAATTGAGGAATTTTCTTCAATAATATTGGCCTGTGGCCATGTCTGTGAGGCATTTTCTTAATTGCTAATTGATGTAGGAGGACTCAGCCCACTGTGGGCCTGCCATCTGTACAGAGGTGAACATGAGTTGTTTAAGAAACATAGCTGAACAGCCAGAATAAACAGCATTCCTCCATGGGTCTGTTTCAGTTATTGCCTCGAGGCTCCTGTCTTGAGCTCCCGTACTGACTTTCCTTGATAATATACTGTAACATATAAGCTGAAATAAACCCTTTCTTCCCCCACATTGCTTTTGGTCATGGTATTTCCACAGCAATGGAAAGGAAATTAGAACTTCCTCCCAGTGGCTAAAATATTTTTCAGAAGATTGTGCCCTTAAAACTAATTTTTTTCCAGGACTGAAGAGATGGCTCAGAGGTTAAGAACACTGGCTGTTCTTGCAGAAGACCTGGGTTCAAATCCCAGTACCCACATGGCAGCTAACAACTGTCTATAAATCCAGTTCCAGGGGATCTGACAGCCACTTCTGTCCCCTGCAGGCATTGCATGATACGGGTGTGCTTATGTGCAGGCAATACACATACACGCACACACATAAAATAAAATAATAAATTTTTAAAAATTAAAAAAACTAAAAGTAATTTGTTTCCATTGTTCATCAGTTATGACACCCTTTGTTGCCATTTTTCCATGTTGTATATAATTTCATTGGGAAGTATGGTAAATGTATGACCATATAAACACACAGAGGCCAGAAGAGGACCTCGGTTGTCCTGCTCAGTTATGCTCTGCCTTATTCCTATAGACATGGTCTCTCATTGAACCTTCAACTTGCCGTTTTGTCTAGGATGACTGGCCAGCAAACTCTAGGGATCCAGCTATCCCCACTTCTCAAGGCAAACCCAGCCACATACTGCTTTTACTGGGATGCTTGGGAATCAAGCTCAGGTCCTTATGCTTGCACAGCAAGTGCTCTTGCTTTGCACCATTACCCCAGCTTCTGAGTATATATTTTATTTCCCAGTGTTACCTAAATGTGATTCAAGATGTCCTCCATACTAAATTTCAGTTAGAAAGGAAATGTTATAAGGAGTATTGAGTAGGAAGTATTTGAGGGGTATTTGTAGTGCAGAGTCAAATAAACTTCCTCTTAGGCAAAAGGTCACAACAAAACATCTATTGCATTACTTTTCCTGGGGAGATGTGAACAATGTCTATTCACTCCAGATAGGGTAACCAGTACAGTAAAGATTCCATCCATCCAATTCCAGCTTAGTAAAACATTGGGTTTATTGGGTTTACTTACAGGAGCATAGACAACTCGAAACCAGCTGCATCACACAAAAGTCCTGTCCCAGCATGGTTGAGCACCTCATTGAACTGCCTCGTAGGGTCCTGCCTTAAGTTAACCTTCTATATCATTTAGCACCTCTGAAGGTGACATGCAGCTGGAAGACAGGAGTGAAAGTTGGTTGTGTTTCTAGTTGAGAGTCATCTACCTTTCCATCTTCCCTACTAGGGAGTATTGACAGCTCCATTAGCATAGTCATATTTCAATGCTAATGTGGTGGTCAAGGTTATCTCTTGTCCATGTTAGTAATGAGATGGTCATGTTATGTGCATAAGAACGAGCTATTCTACAACTTCATGCCCAAGCATGACTTGCAACATTTTGTTTAACTAGATCACTGTTATAATCTATCTAGTTCTGTTCCTCCCCCTCTGTCCCTCGCTCCTTTCCTTCCTCCCCTCCTCCCTGTCTCCATCTGTTTCTTCCTCTTTCTCTAAACCTGTTTCTCAACTCATGTCCCTCTTCCTTCCTTTCATTCTACACTCACCTTCTCTCCTAGCTCCTTCTCTTTCTCTCATTCTTTCTCCTTTTCCTTCATTGTAAACACACACACACACACACACACACACACACACGCACACACGCACACACGGACACAGACACAGACACGGACATGGACACACACAGGGGACTCACAGGATATATACTTTTAATTAAAGCCCACTTTTAGATTTTTCGACTACCACTTGAGATAATTGGAGACATCATAGGGATAAAGGCTACAGGGGGAAAAATCAGAGATATTTCTATTTCTAGCTCTGCATTGGACTCTCGTGCCCTATTGAATGAGTCCTTTGACCTTTTTTTCCCCAATGCCTTATCAGCAAAATGAAAGTCATTATTCTATCATGTTTCTCATTCACTTCCTAGGGATGCCTCCAAGACTCATTGAATTAAAACAATGTATAAAGCTCGTAGCTTACTGGATTATTTAAAAAAAAAAAAAAGCCTAAGAACAAAAACGTTAGTTTTATGAGGAAACTTTCTGAAGCCATATATATGATTCTTGTTTTACAGCTACAGTATCCTCTTACATTTCACTTATTTGCCTTTTAAATTAATCATGTTACCAAGGGCCCTGAAATTCATAAACCTGATGCATCATGAAATAAGAAATAAACTGATAAAAGCAAAATAGATTTATTTGCAGTTTGGCCAGGCTGGGGAAAAGAAAGACTCATAGTTTCTCTTTACCTCTTTTGTAGCAGTGTTACAATTTTATAGAAAAGATGAAGCAAGACACAAAATATGTGTAGGCTAGATTTAATTGTCAAAATTAGGTGAAATCTCTTCTTGGGAGGCAAGTTCGTGGGACAACTTTAGTTTTTCTTGACCTAGCATGGGATTCCTGGGGAAATTTTAATTCTTTAAGGTCTAGGGTTTCGGTAACCTGGTAACTGGAAGGAGGAGCATATGTTCTCTATAACAACACCTCCTCCCCCTCCGCAGTGGGTTACAGCATTATTGGGAAACTAATGAATAGGTTTGTAAGACAAATCTAAACTAACATCAAAAAGCAGTGCACCAATGTTAGTCCATCTTTGGGGTGTGTGTTGGGGAGTGTCAGAAGCACGTGTATACAAGTGTGTGCGTACACGTAGAGACCAGGGAGTCATCTGGAACACCATCTACTTCCTTTGAGACACAGTCTTGTACTGAGCTGGAATTAACCAGTTAGGTTAGATTGGCTGGCCTGTGAAACCCAGGGATCCTCCTGTCTGTGCCTGCCTCGCTCTGGGATTATGAGACCATATCACCATGCTGGGATTTTTACAGGAGTGCTAGGGATCCAATGAAGCCCTTCCTACTTGTAGAGCAAGCACTTTACTAGCTGAATCACACACCCCAAGCGCTTTGTCTTTGTTTTTTTAACATTTTGTAATGTGTGTTGATATGTACAGTATATATACATAATATTTGAAAAATATATATTAAAATGTTAACAAATGTTGTTCCTAGTTGTTAATTTATTTTCTTATTTATCTATGTTTCATATAATGAATATGTTTGTGTAATGAATATCATTTTAAATTATTATTTTTATATTACTGTTAGTTAAAGGTAATTCTACTGTATTTTATCATGGAAATTTAAAATAAGGAAAATGCAAAATGCCCATTTTCAAAATGAGAGAACATGGCAAGTCTTGTGAAACCTATTTACTGTTTTTGCTGGGTTCATAAACTCACTGTCTCACTTTCTTTGGATTCCAAAGAATTTAGGAAACAAAAATTAGCAAAGAAAAATGGATTTATTTGCAGTTTGACTAAAGTGGGGGAGAGAACTCTAATTTCCTCCCCACCATGCCTATAGTCATAATTTATAGAAAACCAGGAGACAAAAGCTAGAACATACACAAATGTAACTGTGAGATAGGCCAATTGATCCTTTTCTGGGAGCAAGGAGACCTGGGTCCCAGGTTGTCTCTGACACAGTTTTTATTTAAATCCAGGTGAAGAAATCTGGTATCTTAAAGACCATCCCTATTTTGAAAAATGAAACAGTTTTGTGCAATGTAGAATTCTTATCCATTCTAGGCCTGGTAGAGCTCTTTTCCGTGAGTCCGTTGCTATGATAGGTAGAGAATGCCAGTCTTGCCTTTCCTTGGGACATTATCTTGAGCGGCTGACTCCTGTATTCCCCTTAAAGAAGCTAATTTGGCAAGTGAACAAAAGTTATGGTCTGTGTCTGACAGCTGAAAGGAGAGGAACAAGCGTCTCACTGTAAAATGTGTGCTGCCTGTTTCCTCATAGGATCACTGTTACACTGTCATGTATTGAGTTTAATTTGGCACTTTTCACCCTGTTGCTTCCTTTGACTATACTATTTTTTCATGTATTTTTCAGCTACAGGACCGCACTCAGTTCAGTGACCGAGACTTGTCCACCCTAAAGAAGTATTGGGACAATGGTATGACCAGCCTGGGCTCTGTTTGCAGAGAGAAGATAGAAGCAGTTGCAACTGAATTAAATGTTGACTGTGAAATAGTTCGGGTAAGGCATTTTCCAGTTTTAGTTGATGAGCAGCATAAATGACAGCTTGAAAACTAACCGCATGAGGCACTGCAAACAATATCACTGATGAAGTGAAAAGACCTGAACAATGGGGGACATCTTTTCCAAATTGTGTATCTGATCAGGAACATATCCAAAGTATGTAAACAGCACAATTCAGTAATGAAAAGGCAAATAAAGCAGTTTTAAAATAAGCAAAAGATCTGTATAAACATTTCTCCAAAGTACATAAATGTCCAATAAACGGATACAAACATATTTAACATCACTAGTCATTATGGAAATTGAAGTCAAAACAAAAATGAAATAGTAGAACCCACCATGATGGTTTTAATATAAAGGATAGATAATAAGTATTAGTCAGGACGTAGAGAAACTGGACACCTAATGTGCTGCTGGTGGGAATGTAAAATGTTTACATTTCCAGATTAGAAAAGATTCCTCAAATAGTTGAACATATGCCATAAGACATTTTATAAATCAGCAATTCTACTTCTAGCTATATACTTTGAAAATAAAAAATATGAAACATATGTCCACACCAAAACTCAGGCACAGATATGCCTAACAACATTATCCATAGTAGCACGAAAGTAGAAACATCCAAAATCTCCTCCTAATGAATAAACAAAATATGTTATGTACATATAATAGAATATTATAGGACTGTTTAAAGTAATGGGATACTGATATATGCTACAAGATAGATAAGTCTTGAAAACGTTGTACAAAGGAAAAGAATCCAGGGCCAAAACCCACTTACTACATAATTAAATTTATATGAAAGTACAGAATAGGTACACTGTAGAGACAGAAAGTAAATTGGTGGTTGCCAAGGGATTGGTGTAGGGAGGGAAGGGCTATGGCTACTAATGGGTGTTGGGTTTCTTTTGAACATCATGTAACTGTTCTGGAGTTTGCCATGTTAAAACTATCAATATCCTGAATATATCTTTTTTATTTTAATATTTTTAGTATTTTATTTGTGTTGAGTGCATTGCTTGCACATGCGTAAGTGCACCCATGTCAGAAGTCAGAAGAAGGCATCGAATTCCCCTGGAACTGGAGTTGCAGTTGGTTGTTAGCCACTGTGTGCGTGCTGGGAATCGTACCTGGGTCCTTTGCAAGAACAGCCCCCTGAAAATATCTCAATTTTACATATTAAATGAGTGAATTGCATGATATGACAAACATGCCTTAGTGATGTTATTTTACATTTGTTACAAATACCATCTAAAAATTCTATGAGGTAGTATGAAATATATCTCACATGTTTATATAATAAATAACAAATAAACATAACTATATTGATCAATTTTGGGAATACTAGTTCACATTCTATTTGAAAGATATTGATAGAAGGTTTAGATAATAGTGGTACTGTAAATA